TTTCACAGACCCTAAGGTGATCTGATGTTAGATGTCCAAGTAGACGATCATCTGGGTGTGAAAGTGTTCCAGGTTGTACTTCCAGATCAATCAATGGCTTAAGCACAGACAATTTGTACAAACCTCAATCAATTGAGAAAAATTTGGCAACATTGAAAAAAGTTGATTCCAATCCTTATCTACCTAAACCAATCACTGATCAAATTTTCTTTCAAAGTTTACTTCGCTCTGATTTTCGATCAAAAAGCGAAGAAGAAATTGAAAATGATAAAAACCGAACCTACTCGAACAAAATGGAACCATCATTTCCATCAAAAAACGAATCAAATTTACCTCAAAATCTTGTAAAGCCCAAAAAAGTTACAAATTTTAATCTACCTCAAACGAAGGCACCTTTAGAGGGTGAAAGAAACGAAAATGAATCACAAGAATCTGATTCTAATCAAAAGCGACCGAGTACATTGATTCTTCCATATAAAATTAAACAACAACAAGTTAAAGTCGAATTGGATTCTAATGGTCGAGTTTTGTATCCATCCAATTCTCTCGGACGACGTCGAGATGATCACCCAATGGCCTATTTAGAGCGAGCAAAAAAATTAGAAGCTGAAAATAAAAAATGGTCCACTTTGCCTAGACCTTCCGTTGAAGATGCTTGTCTAATCAGTCCACGAGCAACAACAGTAAACACTGTGTCATCTAAAAATCGATCAATGGTATCACATGACCGTACAAATAATAATCGACCTTCCCAACCAACAAATTCAGCACCCAATACATCATTGACTGAATCTTTGGATGGCAAAGAGAATGAAAATTCCCAATCAAAGCTGCACAGATTGTTCACCACCAAAATTAGTAGCATCAGTCCATATCATCACACCTTATCGACACTTGCTAACATTCAAGTAGAACACCAAACTCTGAGACACCATCAACTGTTGTCACAGGTCGAGTGGGTCCACCAACTTTTCCAAAACCTCGTTTCAACATGAATAGACATAGTTTCTCAGGTCTTGGGTCAATTGAACGTCGTGCTCAAGACGCTCTCAATGTAAATATTAGTCCTGTTGATCCTGCACTTCAATCTGATTTACCTTCACCCATTGGTACTCTGCTTAGTTCTGGTTCAGTTAGAAGTAAACTATCAACAAGTGATTTGATTTCAATGATTTATGACTCCAAACGAAAACTAGAGAAACGATCGGCAGAAACTCCGTCTCCAATAACATCACCCCAAAGTGAACCATTACCTTCACCACCAAACCTCCTCTCACCTAATCAAAGGCGAAGCTGGTCCTTTACTAAAGAAATGACAAATGGGTTTGATGTTACTGTACCAGGATGTCGTCGAAGCTTAGCTTCTGATCGATTAGGACCAGTAAAACCCACATCTATTCATGACTTCAAAAAACTCATTGCTGCCGCTCGTCCAGTTGGATCCACTCAAAAGTCAACAGTATCGGCAAAAGATTTGCTTCAAGCCAACCCAATATCAACCATATCATCGGTTAATTCGAGACCATCAACGCCATTAACTTCAATGACCAATCATCTTCTCAATGAAATGTCCCAATCAGCTCGACCATCATTAACTTCAACAATACCATCATCAACTACTTCATCTTTGTCATTATCTATTTCACCCTCATCATTACACTCACCACCATCATCAACATCTTCATCTTCACTGGCCTCACCTCAATCTCCACCTTCATTGTCACCCTCAACCGGTCAACTTTCATCTCATCTCAAAGCACCAACTGCTCTTCGTGACTCGCGCACAAGAATAATCAATGGACGTATCTATCGTAGTCCTTATAGACTTGAAGTAATGTGTCCACCAATCGAAGAGGATGCCGTCCAAGAAGAGTCAATAGTAAATAATTATTCTGTCCCAACAGAATTGAAAAAAGGTTCAACATCGAACTCATTTGAAAACGAGAATAACTATCGAAAGGGATTATCGTTCATTGGATCGAAAGAAATGGAGAAACATTTAATCTCAGCTGGAATGTACAATAATCCATCACTGCTGAAACAATCACCGTCCTCACCATCCCCAAGTAAAGCCACATCAACATGGGTTTAATATCTTTAGCAATAAAATAATCTCCAAATCAGCTTCTTCTGGTCAATTGAATGTTTTCATGCAAAATCATTTTGAATTAAGTTCGTAAAGTTAATTCTTCCGCTTTTGATGATTTTAAGCATCAAATTAGCTGCTGGAGGAATTAAACTTAACGCTCTTTGCTTGATTAAAAGCTCAGATTTATGCAATCAGATAGTAAAATTACCCGGTGTTAACAGTTTTGTCATTGAACCAAGAAATAGAAGCATTCTTTTCGTTAATCATACGAAAGTTGAATTGTTGCGTTAAAATTTAATACACTTAACAGTGTAATATTTAATACAATGTTACATAAACGCCGATATAAAATGTACGTTGATTGCAAAAACGAGGATTGAATGGAGACATTGCATTGAGCTGAATGGAAAAAAGGATCGAAGGAAATCGAAAGAGATTTTGATATTCACCAGGAGATCTTATTGCTAAATTAAAGTTGGAAAATCCAGTTTGGAACTGAATTCCCATTTCTCGCCAGGCTGAGATGTAAATAATTGACAAAGCCATGGTCAATTGAAATCTGGTCATTGAATATAACACCAATTTTATTTATACAATTAATCGATACTACAAGATTTGTAGCCTTGTCAATTAATTGTAAACAAATCATTGTTTTTGAACAAATTGGCATTTATCACCTCTAAATTCCCATTCTATCTATTTGTATTCATAACTAAAAAAAATGCGTTCTTATGATGAATAAATTTAACAATTTTTTCCACACTCAAACTGAATCACAACAAGCTCAATCAATCAAATATCAATCGCATTATTACAAATGTGGCACTAAAATAAAACATTTATTATATTATACATGTATATATTCAATATTATTATAGAAAGATTCATCTTTGCTGATTAGAGCAGCATAAAAAATCATGTTTTGTTTTAACTAAATTTGTCAGTTTTCTCGAACGGCCACGATTGCATTATATGTAGACTAATAGACTGAAATCTCCATCCATTTCGTAATCGAAGATACATCATTTTTAGCAATGATTCTCAAACTTCTTGTTCCTTTAGCACTGAAATATCTGATTAATGATGAGAAGCTTTCATTCGAATGTTTAGTAACTTTGATATGTTCGCTGTAAGGTCTGTCTATCCAAAAAAAGTACTCGCATTGAAATGGAGGTGTTCCACCATGAATTTTGCAGTCCAGTTGAAGTCTTTCAAACACTTTAACCTCGGTTGGACCATCAACAGTCAAATTAGTAATTGGATCTTTGCTTTCCAATGTAGTGCTAAATGTACCAGATTTTTGTATAAGATCACTTCCATTGGTTTTAGTTGCTGTAACAATCACTGAAATTTTGTTTAGTTGAGGCTTATAAAAAGTATGTTGAATAACCTTATAACTCTCCTCTTGTGGTTCATCATTGATAAACCATTTGTAAGTTATATTAGTTGCTTCGAAAGACCATGAAAAATAACTCATTCTGGCAGTCAGTTTATATGCCTCTGCAGTGGAAACAACTTTTTTATTGTCATCATCATTTACAGCTATAGTTCCAGTGAGGGAATCTAGAAAAATACCGAAAATAAGCTCAATTTTAGTATTTCTGAGATGATGATTCGAAACGTTACCTAAAAGCTGGAAGGTAGAATTAAGAGTTCCTAACCAATCAAAAGGCACACCGTGATAACAATTCCATGCATCAATTTGCATTGTATAGTTACCAGCTTTCGCTGGTTCAAATGTTACGACGTAATCTACTCCACTTTGATCTGAGACAATAGTTTTATCATATTGTGGAAATTGGTCAAATTTGAATCGAAATTCATATGAAGGGCCTCTTGTTCCAGAGTCAGATGTAACTCTGAATTTCATTGGTACACCAATTGTTCCAGGACCCCAGTCATACCACGTAACAGCCGCGTCACAGACTGAAAATAAAAAAATAGACAAGAACAAGTGAAGATAATTAAGCTTACACCTAAAACAAGCTTTCTTATTAAAGTACGTTTAGCTTATTGAATAGTTGCACCAAATAAATACTGAACTTACTCATTCCATTGCTGGATAAGACAATATACAGAATCAAGAATGATGATAAACTTCTCATGGTTGGTCTGAAGTTATAGATGATTTGCACATGAACAATGTTTAGATGGAAACTGTTTTCAAATATTTATCACAACAAAACTCCGATGGCAGCTTCATATTATGGCTTACAAGTGGTGATGACCTGGGTTAGTTATAAAGGTAACCTACAACAGATGGCGAGCTAAAAGTTACTTTAACAGAGTACCGATGTAAGATGCATTTCAAGACTTTATTTGATCGACACAAAATAAAGTGAATGTTTCGATAACTTATTTATGTTCCATTATTATATCAACTTTCGAGGCTCGATCTCTTATCTGCTGTCAGCAATTTCAATGCTATGCCAACCAATGAATGACATTGTTCAGCATCTTTTTAGCATCTTAATAATGAATTTCATTTTAGCTTGATTAATGTCATAATCAAATATATGTTTTCTTGTTGGTTTTCCTCAATAAAATCAATGAGAGATGAAAACTTTTTCATTGAAAAAATAGTTTTATTGAAACGTCAAGTATTTGATTAACGAAATTATAAAACATTCTAATATTATTCATTACTTCTGTCTTTTATTACAGTTATCGCAGCATTCATTTCATTCAGTGAAAATACAACAAAGCCTTTAAATACTCAATGTATTTAATGCTCTGTTGAAGCAACTTTTTTCTTGGCCGCCATCTAGTGCGAGTAACCTTTATAACTGACCCAGGTCATCACCACTTGTAAGCCATAATATGAAGCTGCCATCGGAGTTTTGTTGTGTTAAGTATTTGAAAACAGTTTCCATCCAAAAATTGTTCAAATGCAAATCATCTATAACTTTAGACCAACCATGAGAAGTTTATCGTCATTCTTCATCTTGTGTTTCGTCTTACCCATCAATGGAGAAAGTAGGTTTAATATTAATTCAATATAATTATTTAATGATCTTCTAAGCTGGATCAAATATTTTTTTACATAAATTATTGTCATGGTTTAGTTTTATTCAATTTCGTTAAGATGTTATGTTTGATGTACAGTACTCAGTCATCTTTGGAAATCCTCCTGATTCACATTTTCTTGTTTATTTCGTTTACTTTCAGGTTATGATGAAAAAGTTTGGTCCCAAAACCAAACTTTTAGTCTGTATGCCTACAGAAGACCTTTTGTAGTTAATGCTGAGATTAGATTTATGGTTGAAGTTACAAATTCCTCTAAATCAAATACTACTTCATATGAATATCGGTTTAAATTTGACCAATTTCCACAGCTTGATAAAACCATCGTATCAACTTGGCCAACAGGATTTCACGCAGTAAAATTTGCTTCAACTTGTGAACTGAAAGGTGGCAACTATACAGTACAAGTTGACGTATGGAAATTTCAACTCGGTTTCCCGACTCATTCGATAGGAACTATTCTTTATACCTTGGAGGTTACAGGTACGATTAGCAAGTCCCCAATACCACAAATAGACCGCTTGTACACTAGCAGTGTGCGTTGTTTATTTTATCCATTTAAAAGTGTAAAATTTCGGTCAAATTATCGATATTTTGTGCTAATCGACAACTAAAAATGGCTATCACACATCATTGCAAACGCTGATATAAAGCGGCTATTTGAGTTTTTGGTCACTAAACATCATGTCCATTCACCTTTGAGCATTATTTCGATTCATGTTTTTCTTGACTATTCATTTTTTACTTTAGACTGTAACTGGATCGGCCAATCTAACGATGGTCCTGCTACGCTTGGTACACAAATCACCTTTATAGCTTACAATTGGTATCGAATGGACTATGGCCCACCATTTGAATACCGTTTCAAATTTGAACAATTTCCTGAACATGATAAAAGCATTGTCTCAACTAAAGGAGAAGTTGAATACATAATAACATTTGGAATCATCTTCAACACTTAAACCTGGCAACTATAACGTGCAAGTTGATGTTTGGGATCTCGGTGTCCCTTCTTATTCGTTAGGAACTGCTAATTCAACCTTCCAGCTCACAGGTAACGTTATCGAGTCATCAATCCATTAATATGAACCAAAAACTGTCACTATCTACTTTCTCATTCAAAGTTGATATCTTCTCATCTACTAATAATACAACCCTGCTCCTGTTTGAATATTCAGGAATAGCATTTGATTTTCTTGCAACTTTTTTCAGATCTAATTAGCAAATCAAAGCCGGTTGAATAATAACCTTCAATGAAATTAAATGGGTCAGAACTGAATTGCAATCACTCTTAGAGAATGAAAATTATCCGGATTTTAGTTGACTCAATGATCTTAACCGATCATTCATTTTTACTGATTTTATCGTTCACATAACTTTTAAGTTAGAAGAAATTCAGGCTTTGAAATTTTTCATTTACAACTTTGCAATGTTGTTGCAACGATGTTGCGCTCAGAATCTTCATTTATCGTTCTAACTAGGTGATCCACAACAAACTTTGACCAATTTATCTCTCTTGCTACTTGGTTGAATCAATATTTGGAAATGTAAAATTTTCGAGTACAAAATTATATTTAAAGAAGATATTTAAAACTTTGACTGCAACACTCTTTTTATCAATTTTTCTAGATTCACTTATTGGATTCATAAAACTAGACCAAGAATTTCATTTTTGTACTGGGATTGAAAGTTCGAGCGAGAATACTGTTTTCAATAAAAAGCCTACCAAACTGATTGCTGATATTCGTGATCCATCTGGGTATTTCACTGGACGATGTGGAATTCACCCATTCAATATAACATATAAATGGACTGTTAATGGTGAAGTTCAAGAGGAAAGTTCTAAGGTTATTGAACATACTTTTTCCCAGCTTCAACTGAACAACGTTTCAGTGATTGTTACAGCAACTAAAACCAATGGAAGTCGTCTTATACAAAAATCTGGTACATTCAACCTTACATTGGAAAGCAAAGCTGCAGACACTAATGGATGGCATTTCCCTGACTGCGATTGAATCATTGTTTATAACCAATAAAAGTACAATAGTAATTAAGTAATGTATAATAAAAAATATAATTCTTTAAAATGTATTCATGCATGGTGTTGGGATCGATGGAACCAAATGACTGTCTCTGACTGATCTCTTAGAGGACGAGAATTGTTATCTTTATAGTCTCGTGGTGCAGGAATAACAGAATAGAAATGAAAAATCTCTCGAATCTTTATCAAAAGCTCTGAGTGAAGAACTCATTTACATTTCTTCATGAATCAAATTTTCTGAACTTTGAATAAAAAGTTGCAAACCACACGAGTTGTATGTAAAGACAGGTAAGGGTTAATGGCCTATGTATCAATTTCAACAGATCCTAAAGGTGAATGTTAGATGTCCAAGTAGACGAACTTCCAGTATCAATCATATAAAATAAAACCAATTTTATGCATACAATTAATTGATACAGAAAACATTGTAATTGTTTTTTCTTAATTGCAAAAAAATCATTTTTTGAAAGAATAGACATTCATCACCGAAAATTCTC